ATTTAAAATATGTGTTATACCCATACAATGGAAAATAATTTAGCCATAAAAAGGAATGAAGTATTGATGAATGCCACAATATGAATGGACACTGAAAACATTATGCTAAGTAAAATAAGCCAGACACAAAAGACCACATATTGTATGAGTTCATTTATATGAAATGCCTAGAAAATACAAATCTATAAGACAGAAAATGAATCAGCAAGGTTGTCACACCCACGCATCCACCCAGGCCTGGTTTTAAAGGGTATTAAGCCCCATGAAATGGACATTATTTAACTTTTGTTTGATGTATGGAAACAGCAATATCAAGTCTTGATTTCAAAATATGTTTAACCTCTTCTGAGTTATGTAGAACGGAAGAATGTTTTTCATTTGCAAGTGTTGGAGATGACAATATTTTCCCTCTGCTTTAATCCGCTTATCCTAGAACCCTATAGGAAGACAAAGACTGTTTTAAATCACACAGTTCAAGTTATTGATAGTGAGATATGCACATATGGGCTTCATCTGTCTATAAAAAGGAAGCAATGGAGCCAATTAATTAATTCCAGTAAAATTAAATGTTTACACCTTTTAAATCTGGAAATATAAAAAACAAAGTGGTGCTCTGTGCACAAAGAGCATAAGCTAGTTTTTGCTATCCTTAAGGGCCTCTTCCTGCATTTTGGGTATATTAAAATTTCTATGCAGATCTTATTGAGGTGATCAAGGTAGGTGACTTTGATTTTTATTTTCTTCAGCAAATTCAAGTACCAATAACTTTCAAATGATATTTAATAACTATTTTAAACACAGAGGACATGGTCTATAATGTTTTGTCCCGACTTAAATACTTATTCCAAGTAGTAGATTTTAATAGAAGAAAACAAGAGTGAATAATGAATAGCAGTTCTCTAAATACGGAGTAGAGGTAAATCTTCGTGATTTAAATTAGTGACATTTCTGACTTTCAGAGACTGAATTTTTTAAGAAGTTTTTCATGCATGAAGTTAATGCCAATATTAAGGCACTTTGATTAAAGTCCCCCCATGTTTACTTAGTGTGTTTTTCTCTGCCTTATAAAAATTTCTAACTGTGGTATATCAGCAACATTTCAAAAATTTATTTAAATTATAACATGTTAAAATCAGAGGACCATTGAATACGCTATATGCATTTCTTTAAAGAATGTGGAAAATATCTTTTCTAATAATTTAATTTTCTCTTTTTTTAAAACAACTCACGTTAGCATTTCTTTTTTACGGTAGCATCATTTTAACCCCCAACTGCATATTCACAGGATGTGTAATAATTTTTGCAAGTAACATTTTGAATTTGTTCTTCTTGACATCTTTATGTTTATATGCATTTTGCATTTCCCTATCTCATTTTTTTAATGTCCAAATGTAACCAATTTCAAGTTTTTGTGTCACATCATTTTCTTTTCCTAGGCAGCATCTCTCTCTTCTGAATTTTTTTGCAAAGGTGTTGTTTTTGAAATCTTTTTTATCTATTTATTTTCCTTCTCAATATGATCCTAGGAGCAACAGAAAGAAAAATGCAGGTGATATAAACAGTAATGACAATTGTGAAGATGAAGGTATTTTTTGTTTTTTCAAAGCTCAACCCTGATGCATGATTTTATATCTATCTATCTCTCCTTTTTTTGTTTTTTCATTTCAATCTGTTTTTCCTCCCCTTATTTAAAACTAGTACACTTTGGTGTGCTGCTTTAATTATATTTTCTTCTTGTATAGAAACCACTGTCATTTTTAATCCCAGTTACCGTGTACAGTAGACAAATCACTGTGAGAAGTATAAATGTTGTTTCTAGACATGAAAAGAGCAATGAACTTCTCTTTACAGAGAAGCTCATCTTTTTTTTCTTTTCTTTTTTTTTTTCCTTGGCTTGGTCACAAGAAGAGAAAATGGAAATTTAAAACTTGCATGTATAGTCTCTTTTCTCCCTTCCAAATTTTATTTTGTAAGTTAATATACTACTTTGGAGCTTTGGTCTCCTTAATTATTTTTATAAATTGCAAAACTCTGCAGCACCTTAGAAGAATCTTTTTTTGGGAGGGCTGGAATATCGGTTTTTTTTTTTTCTTCACATTTATTCCAACATAGGTTTCTAATAGTCTGCTCGCAGTGAAGTACATCAAAAAGTGTTTTAACAAGATGCTGTTGTTAACAAGTCCTGTTCTTTCAGGACTGCCTTTTTCAGCATGTAAAGAAAAAAAAAAAGATAAGAGCATCTCAGAACTGAAAAAGAACAAAAAACTAGCCATGTGCATCTTTCTTTTCACACCATGGCTATTTTGTAAACATTTTTCTCCTTAAAATATTTTGCTGCTGTGAAGTTTCTTCTTAAAGTTACCAAATTGCTCAATACATTATCTACTAGAAGTGAAAGGATTTTTTTAAAAGATGGTAGGTCTGAGGCACTCATGCAGATAACTCACGCACTGCTTTTCTGGTCTTTCTGTAGAAGAAATGATTTTTTTTTTTTTTAAAGAGGAGAAGCAACAAAAAAGTACTCAAGCCCTTCTTCATTGGTAAGACTCTGTAGGATTAGCTAAAAGCAGATTTTTCCCATCTCGGTTACAAAATACATGGAACTCCATTTATTTTTCCTATATAATAAGGCTCTGGCTGGACGTTTGGGTGTCTGTCTGAGAGGCAATTTAAAGCTCAAAAGTGAGTGCTGAATTATCCTTGCTGGTAAGCCCCACTTCTCTGAAAGGGTCTTTTGACCAGTCCTTCTAGTTGCTCCCCTCCTTGCTTATCTTCATAAATCAACTGTTCTCCAAGAAAAGAAGTCTTGCTGACACCTTTTCCATGCCTGGTCTTCCCTTAACATTTTTACTATTATGATTTTTACTGAATCCATAGGGCTGTCATTGCCTTAAGTAGCTCTCCAAGAGATCCCAATTCTGATGGACACAGAAGATCAGAATCTATACCTGTGCAGGTACCCCCTTCTTTGATAAGGGCTTCCAAATGCCTGACATTTTATCAGTATTGAGCAGATGCATGATGTAGGTGATGGGGAAGAAGGCAGCAAATCACACTGCCATGTGTGTTCCTATGCAACAATTCTGCATGTTCTTCACATATACCCCAAAACCTAAAATGCAATAAAATAAATAAATGGGGAAAAATAAAAAAAAAAAAATGAAATAAACTTTTGTTGTCTCATACCTTATACTGCTCTAATTTGTATCCTGTTTGGCCTTCTCTTTTTAATGTATTTCCTTTTGATAATTAGGATCTGTTTTCACAATGTTCCCAGTGAATGTTTATTACCATTAAAATGCTATCTAATTTTCATTTAATATTGATAAGTTATGATTTTTTTTTACTTTGCATTAATATGACAGCTGGTTATTACTTCCACAAGTTCAAGAGAATCTTGTTCTATGTTTTATGCAAGGTAAGAGATGTTAATCTCACAGATTTTCCAAGGGAGCACTTTAAAGCAGCCCTTAAAATCTCTACTTATTCATTTTTCCACAATTTACTACCCAATGGCTGGTAATGGTAAAATAAATGAGGCCAAAAACAGCAAATTAGGAACCAGAAAGAAGCAGTGGATCATGAGAAAAGAAATTTCTTATTCATAGAGCAGAAGACATTTCCCGTAGTGTATGATGAATAAATTATTAATAGAAGATTTTTACTTTATATTTGAATTTTATATGAGAAAATAAAAGACACTTCTCTGCCGTGGATTAAATATCTACAAATAAATACTTGGATAACTTCACACTCTTTTGTGTGCTTTACTGTGACCAATGGGTATGTCATGTCTTCTGTACACACCCAGTAAAATTGTGATCGTAATTCATTCAAATTGGAGCCACCGTCCAAATGGTGGTAATTTATATCCTCAGAATGCCTTTCTGGTATTTCACAAGTGTCCCTGTGAATTATGAGGGTGAAAAAAAGCTTTACTGAAGAAAAAAGTGAAAATAAATATGCATAGATACCTGGGTTTTCTTTTAGTAACAGAGATATTTAAATTATTTGTGCATACACATACACATGCGCACGCACCCACGCACACACACACACACACACACACACACTTATCCGTATCCAGAAATATTTATAGGTGAAGTCAGTCTTCTAAAGATTAAATGCAGCCCTAATGACAGGTTAATATTATAAACAGGTTATTTCATCATGACTTTTCAGACCATCTACAGATGGTCTCCAACTTTCTATCATCACAGATCATTTTTTTTACATCATTGTTAATTTAAATAATAAAGTGAATTACTAAGAGGAATCATCGGTTGCCTGTCACAATGGGAGTTTATAAACCCTGTGAAAATATAAAGCATTTAAATAATTTGGATTCTTTTGCCATTTTTGGTTACATCTCTTTTGTTTTTGTCTCTTAAATATGTTAGGATATTACTGCGATCACTGGAACAAAGACATTTGCTTGGACATCTTTTCTTTTTTTCCCTGTGTTTCTGTTCTGTTAATAATTTTTAACTATTGATTTTGTTTTCTTGTCATTATTGTTACATTGAAGATGAATCTGTACACTCACCTGTGAATTAGGATGCAACTATGTTAAAATTAATTATAATTTTGAAGTTGATTTAATACTTAATTAGAAAACAAAATCTATGTTGTCAAGGGTCCCATGTGCTTCTTCAATTTAAATCACACTTTAGGGTTTGAGCAAAATTTAGGAAATATGTACTTTACTTAAAGCCTTTTTTTTTGTAGTGCTTTAGATATATATATATATAGATGCTTACATGAGCAGAGTACGCCAAATGTCCGTATGCTTCTCAAAATACCATTTCCAGAAATAGACAATGTAACAGCATTGACCATTTTCCTTAGAAACTCTTATCAAGGGTCATATCATCCATAAAAATAAATATGCCTAATTCAAGTCAAAATAGGGAAATCAATGAATCTCCTTTATTCTTAATTTAGCATCGGTGAGTCAGTGTGATTCTTTATTGTGTTTTCTTACTTGGCTTTTTTTCCAGATATTCATGATCAGAACAGTAAGAAGCCAGTTATGGTCTATATCCATGGGGGATCTTACATGGAGGGCACCGGCAACATGATTGATGGCAGTATTTTGGCCAGCTATGGGAACGTCATTGTGATCACCATTAACTACCGTCTTGGAATACTAGGTAAGTGATTTCATCCTGCAAATCACTGAGCAGGAGGAAACCTGAAAGGTCCACTTGTTATTTTGACGGGGCTCGTGGATTTGAATCCTATTATTCCAATTCCTGGATAATTCCACTTTATGGTGTTTATGTAATCAGATATGTTTATTCCTTTTATTACCTTCGTGTAGCATGGCCATTTCATTGTTTTGATACTTATTTTTTATTGCTTGCAATATCTGATAGGTAATTTATTTCATGAAACCTGAATTGCTTTTCAAACCAATGTCCACTTTAAGATCATTAAGATGAAATGAAATTTTATTTAAAGTACGTTTCTTCATTGGAGTTAAATGAATGTGTGTTTTCTTCATAGACCTGTATAATGAACACATATTTGGTGATATCATAGTTGGGAAGGGCCATAGATCTTAGCTTTCTTTTCTGGTTGTGTAATTGTACAAATCAATATATCGTGTGGAGGAAAAGATTTTATCCAATTCTCTAACTGATTATGTTGAGACTTTGAAAGATCTGTTGTTTTGGTTCCATTGCATTTGCATGGAAACAAATGATTCCAAAGGAAACTTACTTGCTAGTTGACTTTTGTTCTATTTGATGATCTACGGTTAAAGGCTAAGTATGTGGAAATTCAAGTTGAGTTCCTCCTTGTTTAGATGTTTCATTGATTTTCTTCTAATTATAGGTTGGAAATTATACCTCTTCAGGGTAAGATTTTAATACGCTCTTAGATGGCCTTTCCCGCTGTTGCCTAGTTTGTGAATAATATTCTTAGACCTATGTAAAAACATTTGTTTTTCAGGCAAAAATGCATTAAAGTGGTGTAGAAAATAAAAATTTTAACAAACTAGCCATGAGAGAGATGTGTATATTGGTTGCAGTGTGATTATGATACAATAGAAAATACCAAATAAAATGGAGGCCGGGCATGGTGGCTCTTGCCTATAATCCCAGCACTTTGGGCGGCCCAGGCAAGCAGATCACTTGAGGTCAGGAGTTCAAAAACAGCCTGGCCAAAGTGGTGAAACCCCCTCTCTACTAAAAATACAAAAATTAACCGGGCATGGTGGCAGGTGCCTGTAATCCCACCTACTTAGGAAGCTGAGGCAGGAGAATCTCTGAAACCCTGGAGGCTGAGGTTGCAACAAGCCAGGATCCCACCACTACATTCTAGCCTGGGTGACTGAGCGAGACTTGTCTCAAAAAAATAGGTAAATAAATAAATAGCAAAATAAAATGGACTAAAGGAGATCTGTCAAGCAATAAATATGGCTGATAATGTTTTCTTCAAATAGGTACATATTACCAAGAATTTTCTTTCTTTCTTTCTTTTTTATTTTTATTTTGAGACAGAGTTTCACTCTGTCGCCAGGCTAGAGTGCAGTGGTTTGATCATGGCTCACTGCAACCTCTGCCTCCCAAGTTCAAGCAATTCTCCTGCCTCAGCCTCCTGAGTAGCTGGGACTACAGGTGCACGCCACCTCGCCCAGCTAATTTTTGTATTTTTAGTAGAGATGGAGTTTCACCATGTTGGCCAGCGTGGTCTTGATCTCTTGAGCTCGTGATACGCCCGCCTCGGCCTCCCAAAGTGCTGGGATTACAGGCATGAGCTACTGTGCCTGGCCGAGAATATTTTATTTTCAATCAGATGATCTATTTCATTTTGAATGGTTTTTCTTTTTATTCCTATGTGAAAAGATTAACCTGTAAGAAACCCTAGGAGGTGGTGAGTTGCTAAGAAACCCTTAGAGGTGGTATAAGAAACCCTAAGAGAAATGCATTTCTTACTTTGAAATTCAAGTGACTCACAGTTGTTGCTAAAGTTCTATCTTTTGAAACATTGATAAAGAACTCAAAATTCCAGGTTGGTTTTTGCATTAAAGAAAATAAACACCACCAAAAAACCTTTTAGTGTCAAAAGCTTTGTTGTATCACTGGCTTTATTTCCTATATTTTTTGTAGTTTTCTGTGAGCCACATCTTGGTGGAATAATGTCTCTAAACTTTTGCATAGCGATGATTGCATGCTTCACTGAATATTTTTCAGAGGCTTTGGATAGTTGCTTTGGCTACTAGTGTTGAAAACAGGAAATTGTGCTTCTTGATGTTTTACAAAAGGTCCATTCTGACAAAGAGGTGGAAGGAGGAAAGAACGTGTGAGGGCACTGCACAGGCCCTCTTCAAAGGGAGCAGTGTGTGCACTGCCCACAGCACGGCCACGCGGAAGAAAGCTTGGGCATCCTTTTCTGAAGGAAGCAGTGGGCACCGAGCAAATTCTTGCTTTGCTGGAGTCACAAAATATTCTGTTACATGCGTGATGGATTGATGTGTCTGATAAGATTCAGTTTCAAAAGAAATTGATCTCATTTTTTCCCTAATGGCCAATTGTATCAAGCAATTCTACCCTAGGATTTCTCACCAATTTTTTTTCCTTCCTGAGTCAATTTACAATCTTACAAAGCAGGCTGGGAATTATAAACTTCTTTTTTTTTTAGAGGATGAAAAGCAACTGATTGAAAAATTTTAAGTGCAGTTTTGCTATGGAAAGTATTTAAAAGTACTGAGACAACAGAGAGCTATAAAACTGGTGGGGAAGAAATAAAAGAAGCAATTTAGCATCTCTGTGCCAGTCTATTTACATTCCTCCAATGAGCTAGTGTGGAACAGCCAAGCACACTACAGACCCCCTTTCATTTGATGGAATGAAATGTGCCAAGTTTGCCGATTATACAGGACGATAGAGACTTTAAAATGTGACTATGTTGATCTTTATCATGGATCTTGCATTTACTATTGTCCTCTTGAAAATGGCTAGGTGGCATTTACCTTTTGCTTTCAGGAAACTACTATTATCAGTCTTGAAAAAATGTTTTTAAACCTTTGGCATCCAGGTATTTAAAAAGATGATCAAATAAAATACGCAGCTGGCACTGCAATGATCATTACAGTGAGTGCTTTTCATACAAGTAGATACATTTTTAAACAAAAAGTTGAAATATTCTTTATTTTTCTTCCAATAAAAGTCATAAATGTTATCTTCCTACCTTATGAATGGAAAAATATTGTTTTAGATTATTATTTTTTTATGGAGTAACAAATGCTATTTTCTGTTACTCAAAAGAGAGGATTAAAAAGATGGAGTATGCCAGTGATGGAAGTGGAATGCTGGCATTGGAAAGGACATAGATTGCAGCTTGAGACAGACGGAATCTAACATGTTTCCTCTCCCTCCGCCACGAGAAAGTCAGCAAGCATTTTCTGAGACTCCTTCCTTAGATGTAGAAGGCAGTGATCTCTTCCTTGCAAGGTTGTTGTACAGTTAAAAATTCCATGGTTCAAAATACCACACTTTACCTCATAAGTATATAATCTGTACAATTACTTGTCAATAAAAAAAATAATTTTTTTTTTTTTTTTTTTGAGATGGAGTCTCACTGCCCAGGCTGGAGTACAGTGGCATGATCTTGGCTCACTGCAGCATTCGCCTCCTGGATTCAAGCGTTTCTCCTGCCTCAGCCTCCCAGTAGCTGGGATTAGAGGTGCCCGCCGCCACGCCTGGCTAATTTTTGTATTTTTAATAGAGACGTGGTTTCGCCATGTTGGCCAGGTTGGTCTCGAACTCCTGACCTCAGGTGATACACCCACCTCGGCCTCCCAGAGTGCTGGGATTACAGGTATGAGCCACCGTGCTTGGCCAAAAAATAACCTTTTAAAAAAGGTTTAATAGACTCATGTAGATGAAATTTCATAGGCTCTCAGCAGCAACCATTATACCCAGTCACACTACAATTTCTAATGTTGTTAATATCATTATACATTGTATTAATACTACTGTTTATGCACAGTAAGAATTATAGCTGATCCAATCTGTAATGGCTAATATCTATCAAATATTGGCGGCCAGACTGAACCACATTAATTTTTAAAAAATCATTATAAGACACTTCTAGACATTAAATAAATCAGAAGGTTGTGTTTGCTTTTTAAAGTATGAAGGTCTTTTTTATTATAACCAGAACTGTGCTGCACAATCTTGCTAGCCGTTGCCCATATAATTTATGATCCAATCCAGGATATGTTTGAAAGTTGCTTATGTGCTATGAATAAACTGGGATTGCCCCAGGCAAATTGAGATATACATAGCTATAAAGTAATTATTTATATCTACATGAAGTGTCTTCTGATTGAATTGGTGTTCAGTTTGTTTTTAAAGAAGCTACACTTCTCTAAACAAATTTCCTATGTATTCTGCTGTACACCCTTGTCACTAGGAAGATGGATATGTTACCAGAAAGAAGTCATAATCCAGACCCTAAGAGAGGGTTCTTGGGTCTCATTCAAGAAAGAATTGGAGGTGAAAAGTGAAAGTAAATTTATGAGGGAAGTAAAGAAATAAAGAATGACTGCTCCACAGGCAGAGCATCCCTGAGAGTTGCTGGTTAGCTATTTTTATGATTGCTAAACAAGTGGTTGATTATTAATGAGATTTCCAGGAAAGGGGTGGCAATTCCTGGAACTGAGGGTTCCTCCCCTTTTTTAGACCATTTAGGGTAACTTCATGACATTGCCATGGCATTTGTAAACTGTCATGGTGCTGGTGGGAGTGTCTCTTATAATTACCATATAATGAGCTGTGAGGGTGACCAGATGTCACTCTAGTTGACACCTTGGTTATGGTGGGTTTTGACTGTTTTTTTACCACATCCTTTTATCAGCAAGGTCTTTGTGACCTGTATCTTGTGCTGACCTCCTGTCTCATCCTGTGACTAAGAATGCCAAACCTCCTGGGAATGCAGCCCAGAAGGTCTCAGCCTCATTTTACCCAGCCCTTATTCAAGATGGAGTCGCTCTGATTCAAACGTCTCTGACATATGTATTCAAGAATTTGGAATGCCTGAAGTTCACCAATACCTCTCAGATTAGTCATTGCCAGGGTGTATGGTGTTCCTGTCTGCTCAGAAGCCAGCAAAATCCTTGCTGAGCTGTACATGCCAGGGCATT